TCTACTTTCAATATCACCTCTGTAGATTTTTCCACATCTGCAATTGCTGTTTGATCTTCATTAGCTTTTAACGACTCCACAGTTTGCTTTTCTATCTCTGGAATTGTTAGCTCTCCATCAACAATTTCCCCATCTTCCACTTCAACAACATCTAATCCTGGGGAATTGTCAGTACAATCCAAAACACTTTCCAATTGCATATCGTCAGTTTTTTCTATTGGGCTTTTAATGGCAGCTATGTCACTTTTGTCATCTATGCTTGTATCTTTAAACGTTTCTTTTCTTGATTCAACAACTTCTTTCTCAGCATCCTCTGTATCTTTTATTTCTAGATGTTTATCTTTGTTGTCTGACTGTTCTTCGTTTACTAGATTTACATCTTGTGATGTCTCCTTCTCTACTAGTTTACCAGTCACATTTGGTGCATCTGGGATTGAAGCCTCCATCACAACTGAAGCATTTTCATTACAAGAAAGGTTTTGTTGCATTCTGGGTATTTTGTCCTCCTCTGACAGAAGATTTGTTGGGGACAGAGTTTTTTCAGTGGTATCTTTATTGATGTCCAATGTTGTATCTTGACCATCTTGGCATGCATTCTCTACTTTTGGTTCCACCTTAACTAATGTTTTAGAAAGAGGCTCAGAACATACATTGTCCACGGCCTCAACCAGTTGCTGCTTTGCTTCTTTGGTAAATTCTTCTGTTTGTAGGGGTTTCTCGTGTTCCGAGGGAATCTCCCCTTTTACAACTGTTTCTGGCTCTGTCTTGGTATCCTCCATGAAAGACATTCCAAATAGTCCAAACCCAGATTTAGATTTAGTACCATCCCCGCCAAGTGAGAACACAGAGGAAACTTTAAAACCAGCCTCCGATTCAGCTGGTTTAGAAGCTGCCGGACTAGCTTCTGATGCTTGCTGGTTTTGTCCACCAAACATGGAAAATAGTCTTTTTCCTGAAGGCTCTGGACCTCTGGGTCCTTGTATTGTAGCTGTTGGTCCGGGTGGGGGTACTCTAGGCCCAGTTTGGGGCTGGGCACTGAGACCTCCAAACTTTGAAAACAACCCTGCACCAGGAGTTTCTTTATTTGTAGTAGAACCAGGGAGGATGCCACCAAATATGGAAGATCCAGTAGAAGGTCCTCTTGGTGCGGCACTACCCCCAAGATGACCTCTGGGACTGGGTGGTTGATGGGGTGTAGATGCACCAAACATTGAAAACAAGCCTTTGCCTGGAGGTTCTTTGGGTACAGGACCTCTTGGTCGCACACTTCCTACAGTTGGACCTCTTGGGCCAGGCGTAGGCTGACTACTGGATCCACCAAACATAGAAAATAAGCCTTTTCCCTGGGTCTCTTGTGGGGTTGACTGAGGTGGTGGTGGGCCTTTTGATTCAGGTGAAAATGGAGCATTTGACCCACCCAACATTGAGAGTAACCCTGTGCCAGGAGTGTCTTTGGTAGATGACCCAGGAAGAATGCCACCAAGTATGGATAATCC